AGTTAGATTAATTGGATAAGGTGTGTGCGTGTGTTTGTGTGTGTGTGTGTGTGTGTGAATTCATCTGCATTTTGTGTACTTTGATTAGCAGGAGCTTATCTTTGTGTTGAGGCTAAATGAGATTCTCTTGTGTATGAATGTGTGAGTAGAGAGATGATGAGCAAATGTTATCTATGAGCAAATAAACAGTCGAATATATCATCGGCTGTTTTTCATAAACAATCTGTCAAACCAATCTGTTCCTTCAGATGCGTGTGTGTGTGTGTGTGTCTGTTTCTCACATTCAACACTGATCTCCTCCACGGTGTTTGTGTTTATTTGCTTACAAATATTTGCTATCATAATGAATTGCCTCGAAACACTCAAGTCCTGTGTGTGTGTGTGTGTGTGAGTGAGAGAGAGAGAGACCAGCATTGACATTGACCTGTGTGTGTATTTGTGCTCTCTCTCAGATGGGAGGTGAGCATGTGGAATGCATGCTCAGTAGCATGCGGCGGCGGGCTGCAGACACGCAGTGTGTGGTGTGTGAGGTCTCTTGGAGCCAATCAAAGTGACCCAGTTTCAAACTCTGAGTGCCGAGGACCCCGCCCTACAGAGGTTCAGGCCTGCAATCAGGTGCAATGTGTCCCCACCTGGGAGACTGGCGAGTGGCAGGAGGTGACATTACACACACACCCACACCTACAAATATGCACATCAATACACCCCTGTTGTTTAGTGTGACTGCACTGTGTGTTTCTGTGCATTTCAGTGCTCCAGTTCATGTGGGAGAGGAACGCAGTGGCGTAAGGCTTACTGCAGGCAACGTTTGGCCACAGGGAGCTATCGCCGCCTGCAAGACAAACAGTGTGATGGAGTTAAACCCGATACACACCGGCCATGTGTCAGCACACAGTGCCTAAAACCCCACCTAGTGGGCGGAGAGTGGTCCAAGGTGTGTGTGTGTGTATGTCTTGTGTGTGTGTGTGTGTGTCTCTGTTTGGCTGAACGTAATAATGTTTGTGAATGTCTCCCGTGTTTTGATTAGTACATCAAGTGTATATGTGTGAAAACCCGTCAATATTTTGACTATACTGGTTATGTTTATTATTAGTGCATTGCATTATATTCACTGTGTGTTTTCAGTGCTCTGTGACATGTGGGAAGGGAATCCAGCGCAGAGAGCCTGTGTGTAGAAGGCAGACAGCATCTGGTCAGCTGGTCACACTGGATAGATCTGTGTGTATCGGCCTTCAACCTCCACCTCTAATCAGGAGCTGCCGAATGAGTCCCTGCAACAGTGAGACTCCATTCTTTCTCTTACTGGGTTTTTTCCTGGCTCTTTTTTGGAACATTTGCATCATAAAATGACCACACCATTATTATCTGAGCCCTAATTAGCACCTTTTTTATCCCCCAGCATGATGGCTTATAGAACAATGTTACTGGTCAAGTTGCTTTGCTAATTACTGAATGCCTGGTGTATACCCAAAGAGGTCCCCAAACTGTTATGTAAAAGCATCATGAACAGAGCAGTATAAAACACCTGCTGAGATGGAAACCATAACAACAGTTGTTGAATGTTTGCCTATTGCTATGTGAGAGAATTAGCAATAATGTTAGCAACTGTAAATTAAAGGATTGTTTTCATTTCATTCAGTTCTACTGCATTCTACTGCATTACTTTCAAAACCTGTCGAGCCTACAAAAACTCATACTCGTCAGTATATTACATGATCACTGTTTGTAGGAACAAAACTAACTAGGCTAGTTTGGTTTAGCTGCTACAGAGCCATGCAAAGTACATTATCTTTCCTTATGTACATTGTCTTTCCTCATGTTCACGGAAACTGGAACTCATATAGACATTTACACACCTTGTTTCCCTGCTCAGCTTCAGAGGATGTTACTGTTTCAGTTTCAATCCCTTTAGTGGTTACATTTTTTTTTTATCGTGTATATCTGTTTTTTCCTCACACTGACTGTGAGCAAGCGTTTGACAGAAGTAAGAGCTGTCCGCCAATAAGACATGGGTATTTCCACGTATTTTAATGTAAACCCTGTCTGATTGGTCTCGCCTCCGTTCACTGAAGATATAAAATTACAACATTACTGTTTTCTTTTACTGATGTTCGGTTACGTAGTGACGAACCGCTACAAGTGGAGAATTATTCGGGGCTAAAGAAAAAAATTTGGGGTCTACAGGTTACACCCCTGGCAGCCGTGCAAAACGTGATTTATTTTAAAAATGCATTTTACTTAATATTATTTTCTCAGCCATAAATGTATTGACACCAGTAACTATAATCAAATTACATACATTTTAAATGTAATGCCTTACATTACTGCGTTATCAAGAAAAGTCATTAGAATACTGTAACGTGTTCCTTTGTAATACCCAACTCTGGTTCTGAGTAAGCAATATGTATACAAGGCATACCATAACTATCTTAGTTTTCAACACCAGTATTTTATCATGCTAATTTAAAATTAGGCTATATAAAAACATGAATACTATATCACTGTTTATCAATAATAATCACTGAAAACTGTTAAAGTCTTTGTAGAGGTCAGGATGCCTGTTGGTCAGACGCTTAAGCAAGTTGCTCGTGTTGGCTGTGGATTTATAACACATTTTTACATATTTGTAATGTTGTGTTTGTTGGCTGTCAGCCTTCATCAGAAACAAAAATATGCCCCAACTTCACTACCACAAGTTGCAGGCATGAGATAACTTGTTTCCTTTAGCTGTGGATTTACTGCTAGAGCCACTTTGGGAGCCTTGCCCATCTACAGTTGCAATCAAAGTTATTCAACCCCCATTGCAAATCAGGTCTATTGTCGAAATTTAAAGACTTTCAGCTGTTTGCAATGAACAAATCAAACAAAAGCAAATTGAGATAGTTGAAACACAACAAATGCTTCATTTGGTTCCCCCAAATTCAACTGAAAATGCAATTTATAATGATTTCTCAAATTTCGAAATTAATAAACCCCTTCATGACAAGCATCTTTAGTTCTTAGTAGAGCACGCTTTTGTTATTATGATCTGCTGCAAACGAGATGCATAGCTTCTGGCAACTTTCCTGAGGAATGCTGTAAGTCAAATTAGCATGCACAATTTGATTCATCTATTAACAGAACTGAATTTCTGTAGAATGAGTGTTGTCTTATGTAAATACAGTATCAAAAAGTTGTAGAATCTAATTGCTTAGCACATTGTAGTACTGAAAATATATCAACCCTTCAATGCAGCTCTGCTCACCTACTATATATTATATGGTATACCTTGAACTGATCTAGAACTGATCTTGGTAGCATGTTCAAAATGTACCAATTTTAGTGTAAACAGTGAGAAATTAAATCGTAGATTGACCTTTTTGTTTTTAAATTTCTGTGTAGTTCAATAAAACTCTTTCATTTCTTTGTAATATTAGAAATTGTAATCTTATAAAGCATGCTACATGGTCTGACTTTGCTTGGCTTGGCATCAATCTTTGCAAGCCAACTCTCAGAAAAAAATAAAACCTCCATTTGTGGGTTTAAAAGAACATTCTTTGATTTTTGTAAAGCTTACTGTGATTTATTATGTAAGTACTGGAGTCCTCAAATAGTTGGTGGTTTTACCTTCCGGATTTCCCTAACCCTTTGTCTGTGTTTTGTTTGCAGAACACAAGTATTTCAAGAAACGTTGTCCTCAGGTACTGGGCCTCAAACGCATCTACATCCAGACAAAACAAGAGAAAAGGCTTAGCTTCACAATTGGTGGACGTGCTTATCTTTTCCCAAAGACATCAATTGTTATCAAGTGTCCAGTACGCTACTTTCCCAAAGCCCAGATTCGCTGGGAGAAAGATGGAATGGACCTTCAAAACTCCAAACATCTGATTATCACAAAATCTGGAGCCTTAAGGATCTACAGCCTGGAGGTTGGAGACATTGGGGAGTATCGCTGCTGGGCTAACCAGGATTCAGACATCTTCATTCTAAAGCTGATAGGCCATGATAACAGGCTGCTAGAACATCCTGAGGGTAAGAAATTGGTAAAGCAGAAAATCAGCAGCAGCTCCAAAACTTTCTCTAACAAAGAGGGAGGTTTTGTTAGTTCCAAATGCCAGGACCAGGACAAAGAGGGATTTCCTCTGGCTAAGAAGGTTCAGAAACATGGTCAAAGCTGGCTGCAAAAGAATGAGCTATACCTGGATGAGGACCAAACGAAGGAGGCTGGGGATCCCATGGATTTAGGTAACTATCTTCTAGCATCTACTTCTACTAGTGACTCTGTGATTTCAGCAGCTTCTGGAGCCTTCACCCTGGAGCCAGCTGAGTTTGAGGAACTGGTCAGAAACATCAGCCAGCTTGCAGAAAGTGGAGATTTGACAGATGATCTTGCCTCTCAGCTTATTGGCAAGCTGATGGAGGAGATAGCAGCATCCCAGACCGCAACAGATGAGGAGACCTTCCAAGCAGAAAGCAAACATCTCAACAGAACCCCTAACTCCTCTGAACACTCTGGTAGGAAGAGTTTGAAGAGCAGAGCAGTTATCGTTCGTCATACCACACATGGGTCTGCTATGAGCTTTCAGAGAGATCTCAATATCAATGTGGGAAGGACTGCCTACATAACCAATGCCACTCGAAGCCTGACACTTCACTGTTCAGCTCAGGGTATCCCAACACCTACCGTATCCTGGACCAAAGATGGACTACCGCTGCAAGCCAGGTAAACATACATTCAAGTCTCAATTATGTAATTGTATTGGACTGGATTTGTTGTCTAGGATGATATTCTTTAGGATTTGCTGATCATACACCATATATACTAAATACACTATGGAAAACTTGTATTTCTCATAGCTTAGCCACATGTGTAACCAAGTTTGAGCATTCATACATGTTTAATAGCGTCAACTGTGGTCTAGTAACACAAAGGCTAGCCTCCTACAGACTCTAGACTTTATTAGACTATATCTAATAAACTTATCAAGTATAATAGACCAAGTATAATTTAAAGCCCATGTGCAGTCATGGCTCAATGGTTGAGGATCTGGGTTTGTGATCAGAAGGTCAGGGGTTCAAGCCCCAGCACTGCCAGGGATGTTGCATCATGGCTGACTCTGACACCATATTCCTGATAAGCTGGGATATGCGAAGAAAATAATTTCACTGTGCAGTAACATGCAGCAAATAAAGGCTTCTTCTTCTTGGCTGTTTATGTTATATAAGATTTAAAAAAAGCAATTGCTTTTATAGTGGCTGATTTAGAAGTAATTTTTAAATTAACAACTCACCCAGACATTCACCTCCTGACTCCTATATTTCTCAATTTGGTCTTCTCCAGGTCAAATATGCTGGCTCTCATTCTTCTGCTCTCTCTCTCTAGGGTCGTATTGTGGTCTAGCAATGTTGACTATTAAATGCACCTACTGGAAACATTGACTTAGTAATTCAACTTTGTGCAACTAGGGACCTTTAGCTCAGCTCCTGCCCAGACTGTTGCTAAACATTGTCTGCCTGTCTTCCAAGACCACGACACGACTGTGCAAACAGCAGCCTCATTTCTCTTTCCTACATCATTGAGACAGCTCAGCAGTCTAGAAGAAAACCATTATTTAGCCACAATAAATATGCCATTTTTTTGTTATTTATGGCATTTTCATCATAAGCCATTGGGTTACATCATATTTTAAGGACTGATTAGCTTGGAACTAATCTTGTAGACTACTTCCCATGGATGGCCAATGTGTAAAATTCCATGCATTGTTGTTGCATTGAATCTGAACCTTTTTGTGTGTGTGGAAATTTACACCAACACGCTATAGCAAGTACTGTCAGAACTTGACAGAAGTGACCTCAGTTCTAAGTCAAATGGAGTAAATTCTGTACAGAATTCTCCTCCAGCCCTGCTTTTACTCATCGTGTATGTTGCATCACCCTGTAGCAGCCTGGTTAAACAGCCTGGTTTGATGTCTTAGCCAGAATAAACTGACCTCCTCATAGACCATGCTTTCTCATACCAGCTCAGTGACTCTTAGTACATTCCATCTTTTTCAAGCAATATTTAAACCTTGCTATGATCCAGTCACAAAACATTACTAAAGTGGTTTTGACTGCCTTATCTTCCTTGAAACATAACATTCATCTTGACTTGAGCAAAAAAGTTTAAAATTTTTAAATCTGACCTTTCATATCTGACCATTACAACACAAAGCACAACAATTGGATCTTCTCGTATGGCCGATACTTTATTTTGTATAACAGGGCATATAAGATGTGACCACATGCCCATCCACGTAGGCTCTTGTGTTTTTCTTAGTGTATACACTGTCATTACGGATCAGAATGATGATGAATAATGATCTCTCTTACAATCAGAGAGGGCTGAACTCTGCATAGTGCAAAATCTCTTTTCATCTTATCTGTGTTGTCAGTTAGGATTTGCACAGGGAGCTAATCGCTGCATTTTTGTCTCCCTGCCAGTTAAGCCACCTGCCAGTCAAAGATCTCAAATATTTGGAGCAAAGGAGTGTTTGGGCCACCTGCACATGATGAATTGTGTTCATACTGAATGCACTGAACCTGATAGTCTGGCCGTGTTCTGTTCCAGCAAGGACAACAGGGACTTGTCTTCATTTCCGTTAACCTTGGGAAAGCCAATCTGAAATACAGGGGAAAAAATAAAGTTGATCATACGTGACCTGCAGGCTTTTTTCTGCCTTTCTAATCACCATTTACCCTTCTCCTCTATAGCAGTGGTTCTCAAACCTTTTGCAGATAGCGACCCTTTTAACTGTAAAATAAATTCCACAGACCATGGATTATGAACATTATCCATCTATGCCAGTATTAGGCATTTTTATTTTAGGCATTAGCCAATATTAATTTAAGTGCATACTGTCCCATACGCTCAGTGGTTAAGATGTTGGGCTACTGATTGGAAGGTCGTGAGTTCAAACCCCAGCACTGACAAGCCACCACTGTTGGGTCCTTGAGCAAGGCCCTTAACTCTTAACTGCTCAGATATATAAATGTAAGTTGCTCAGGATAAGGATGCCACAAATGTAAATGTAAATATTCCTGAACTTTCCCCCGACAGAACACAGCAGATCCAAGTTGACATTATCTATGGAGCTACAGCTTCTTGAACTGTTAAGGTTTTGATTAAACCCATTCAATTCAAGAGAGTAGTCAAATAAATTAATAAACAATTTTTAAAATAAATGGACTACTGTATAAGATCTCATTCAATAATTTATGTAAATTTGATAACGTTGGGTTGTGATTTCCTGTACTGCACAAAAATCAAATAAAATCACGGACCCCCTGGCTATGCTGTCTATGACATCATGGTTAGACTAAATGGTCATAAGCTCTGAAGCTTATGTCTGCTACAATTTGTGATTCTAAATTACCTCTGTGTAGGTTGTGGGTAGGAAGCAAGACCAGTCAGAGCTTTACTAAAGCAGGGTCACTGAGAAATTCTTCCACTTTTTGAAAGACTTGAATGCCACTGCCATGTTGCTCATACATGCAAAAAGAAAGAAAGAAAGAAAGAAAGAAAAGTAGTTCCAACCATACAGTATAAACGAACCTCTGGCCTTGGAGTACACATTGCCCTTTCAGCTTTCAGAATTTTCACCACTCACTGGGTAGATCCAAGATAGTATATTTAGAAGGACTTGTTTAGTTCTTCAATCATTTTGGCTCTGATGTGGTCCTTCTTTTTCAGCCCCTGCATGGGAATAGCTCTGGATAACTGAGATATGGCTCTGTAAAATAAATACAGACTGTCTCACGGCTGTCTCCACCGCTGAGTCGGCACACTGCAGCTCTTAGTTTTGGCCCGATATAAAGGCTCTGATGATTGACATCCACAGACTCAGACCTCCACTGCATTAGACAGCTTTTTTCTCAACCCAGCAGGAGAGGCCTGGGACAATCTCTCTCAGTGTGTTTTATGTTTTTCTTTAAGTTTAATAAGGATTTGAGTAGATGTATCTGGAACCTGATGGTAGCTGATAATGGTGTAAGATGGAGTTTGTGCTTATAGTTTGTGATAGAAGCGCTTTGAGACATAACAGTAATAAATCGAGTTTAGCATCTGAAATGTTTTCCTTATAGTGAATATCCAATCATGTACTATTTAGTTGCATAGCAATTTTCCTTACCAGCTGCTCATTCTGACTTATCCCCGAATAGATATTGAGCCTTACTTATAGAGACGTAACGGTATGAACATTTTATGTCACGATTATCGTGACCAAAAATACCATGGTTATCAGTATTATCACGGTATTGTGAAAATGTGCTGAAAATGTACAAAAAGTACTGATACACACATTGAAATAATTTAAACAGGTTTTATACTTGTTTTCAGCCACACACTGATTACATCACTTGCCCAGCGCAGCACCACCCCACTGTCGTTTTTGTTTTTTTGATAGTAATAAAGATCATTTAATTCAGTTAGAGTACATGGCGGAAGGCAGTGACAGCGCTTGGGACACTTTCCAACCTTCCAAGAGGACCAAATCTGAAGTGTGGTCATATTTTGGATTTTATAAAAATGCTGAGGGAAACTTAATAGAAGATGGTAGCCCTGTCTGCAGAGCTTGGCAGAAGAAAGTTCCTGCAAAAGGGGGTTTTGGCACCTTTACCTCTTTTCCCCTTGCCTTCAAATTGCTTATGAATACCCGTGTGGCCATGTGTATTTCACGTTCTCTTTCAAATTAGTGGCAATTGCTTGAATGGTGGGTTCATTATTACTCTTATTGAAAAACATAACAACAACAAAACAGTTCAATGACAAATTCACTTATATTAAAACAAATCTTTTGTCATCGTCTTGTCAGTCAGCTCACCTCACTATCATCATGTGATAAGTTAAACCTGACTCCTTCTGATCTGTGCTGCCACTCTGACTCATTCTGCTCATGCTGAATTGAGCAGACACCTTCCATTTTTTAATTGTAGCGTCCGTTTTCACACTCAAAAAACAATGTTGCATGCTGTGCCGGCGTCAGACTCATGGTGTGTGTGTGTGTGAATAGCATTTATCGCGAGTTTTACATATCACGATAATCGTGCATGGTTTTAATGATAATTAAATGTGACATGGTAATACTAACCATTTATCGTGAAACCGGTAACCTGATTGACATTTCCAAATTGTCCGTAATGTGTGTGTGTGCAATTGTGCCCTGCAATGGGTTGTACCCCGAGTCCCCTGGAATAGGCTCCATGCTCCCCACGACCCTGTTTAAGATAAGTGGTACAAAAAATGGATGGAAGGAATTGAGGAATACATTAGTGAGTCTCCTTATATTTTAGGAGCTCTTATATGATACAAAATTGTGTGTGTGTACAATGTTTTATCCACTGTGTTGAATTCAGCAAATTCAACATGCCTTGGTTAAAATGGTAGTTCAGTGAATGAATTTAATTTTCTTAATGTCCTCTTTATCTGAAATGTAGTTAATCAGCTACACGTTTGGTGTCCAAAATTCGCTTCCTTAGTTTTGCACTGGAGTTACAAGGCTAATAAAGCTAACAAGTACAAACCTTTTCTTAACTCTTAAGCATTTTATTATCATTATGTTCCTAATGAAGCATGCATATAATTATTTCTTTAATTCTTCCACATTTTCAGTGACTGATCTGCCTGCGCTCCCATCTCCGGGGGAAAAAAAATCTACTGAAATAGAAACCTTCAAGAATTTGTGTGGCATTTGCACTCGCTTTTCATCTCTGAGCCAAAAGGAGCTTACAGATACAGACCCACAGGATCACTGTGGATCGCACATTACCATGCAGACAAAGTGTGGACAGCTCATGTAAACAAAATGGCAGACAGACAGATGGCCTATTTTGAGCTGTAGCATTTTTAGATCAGTCTGAGGGGAACCTTCTTACTCGTGAAGGTAAGGAAGATAGGGTTGGCAAGATAGTGGGACCAAATTCCGAGAGGCTTTTTTATTATAATTATTTCTTTCAGCTTTAAATGTGAAATATTATGTATGCCCAATCTCTATACCAAACTGACCATATGGAAATGCCAAATATCCCTTGAAATTTGCAGTGATTCGTTTTACTC